CACACACACACACACACACACACACACACACACACACACACAATATGTCTTTGTTATCCTTAGCATTCAGCATGCTTTATCATTAATTCTGGAAGCAAATCAGTTCCAGTTTGTTTTGCTAATGGGGTGCAAAAAGACCCCATTACACAATCTGAAGATAAGCTTCCTGAGCTGTGAGAGCAAAGCTGACCGAAAACAATGGAATGACAGCTGGTGTTGAGTTATGTAGCGACATTTACATCTTTTCACATCATGTTCTACATCAGGAGGTTCGCCTGTGATTTACGGCGAGTGCTGTACCCTGAATGTTTCCCCTGTGAACATCCCTGGTGTTTGTTTGTTTGTTTTTTTGTTTTTGTTTTTCTTTCTCTCGCTGATGATCATCGTAGCTGTGAAGGGTTTAGAGGAGGGCGGTTTCTGGGCGAGTAGATTAACTCTGCGATTATTTTGATCAGCGCAAATTCGCCGATAACAGCAGACGCAGCTTTTTGCGTTTTGTCACGTTGCTGATTTGTGTCCCGCAGGTGCTGCCGTACTGGGGGAACCCCCACGACCGCAAAGTTATCCGGAAATTTTGGAGCCAGGTACAAATAAGATTACACTGAATATATGGAGTGTTATTTATTTTGGTAAAATAAGTAGCACTTAAAATCCAGATTGTCTGATCCTGAAGTCTGAAGGTTACAGGTAGTAAGAGACCAAAGTGGACTCCCACTGTGTTAAAACAACTTAAATGTGGAGAAAAATAAAAAAGCTCATAGCAGTTTATGAGAATAGTATTTTATTAATCTTCTGTCTTTTGGCTGTTCCTTTTTTGTTTATCTATTTATTTTTACATAGGGACCATTAATAATTCATACAGAAAATGGAGGTAGGAGGCGATCCGCCACCAGTAACTTATTTTAAATGGAATCTGGTGAAACATTTCCTGTGCCTAATCAAGAACACTGTTATATTAATTTTTACACTGCCTTACTTTTTTATGTAGTTACTTTGTTTAAATGTTTTGAACCCAGTTCTTGTTTAACTCAGGAAGGTTTTTAGTGACACACTGCCTCCAACCACCATTTCCTGTGTAAATAATCTTTGGCTTCTATGTAAAAATATGGCTCAATGCAAACATGATGACTGTTTATAGGTTATTAAAATTGCATTGCATACATTAACAGGATTTTGTTGAGATGGCAGAAGTTGTCTTTGTCTTTCTCTGTTTAGCTGTTAGCTTCAGGCTAGCTAATCTGGATTTATGCTAAACGGAGATAGTAAAACAGATATCTATTCAGAAACGATAACTGCTTATAATCTTTTAAGCAATAATTTTCTCTTCTGTCATTTTTCTTTCTCTTGTAGTCTGTAACCGTCTGTCTCTTTTGCCAATTCTTACTTAGAAAACACTTTATACACAAAACGCACCTTTTCACGTGGTGATCACGAGCTACCAGCTGGTAGTCCAAGATGTGAAGTACTTCCAGAGGGTCAAGTGGCAGTACATGGTTCTGGACGAGGCCCAGGCTCTGAAAAGCAGCTCCAGGTAAAGCAGATTTTTAATATGTCTGTTTTGCTACCTGTGCTAGTTATGTTAATATTTGCGCTTGGTTGTTTTAAGACTCAGTCTAGCAGAGTTACGACAAAGGAGAAATTTTGATCTCTGCAAAATGAAACGATCTTTTGACATTGAAATCAAACAGAGTTTGCCAATTTATTTTTGAACTAACACTTCGTAGAGCTGATACAAAAGTTAAGCTATTCAGTGAGGTCGGCACATCATAAATCAGGCAGGATATAGATTTCAGGGACACTGTTCTTAAGCTCAAAATCGACCAAAAACATCTGGAATATGTTCCCACTGACTTCCACAGCTGTGCAGCTATGCATCATACGAGTTTTTATTGGAGACGGATCAAAATGTGCTTACTTTAAAAAATACATACAGTAACTGGGGGATCGTATATTAATACCAGTGACAAACGTGTTTGTTTTTTTTGTTTTTTTGGTTAGCGTTCGGTGGAAAATCCTCCTGCAGTTCCAGTGTCGGAACAGACTCCTGCTGACCGGGACGCCCATCCAGAACACTATGGCAGAGGTTTGTAGTGCGTGTATATACATTTAAATGCATGTGTTCTTATCAGAAGTGTTAACAACTGTATGTCGTTGCTATTTCTCAGCTGTGGGCCCTGCTGCACTTCATCATGCCCACATTGTTCGATTCCCACGAAGAGTTTAATGAATGGTTCTCCAAGGACATCGAGAGCCACGCTGAGAACAAGTCTGCCATCGATGAGAGTGAGCGCAACAGAAATGTTCCTCTCAGTTTGCCATTTATACTTTTGCATGTAATATGTTGTGTGTTTTTTTTTTTGCTTTCTCTTTTAAGATCAACTTTCCAGATTGCACATGATCCTCAAGCCGTTCATGCTGCGCAGGATCAAGAAGGACGTGGAAAATGAACTCTCAGACAAGGTAAAAAACAAAACAAAAAAACTTTTGTTTGTTTGAGCAAACCTCATGGTCAAACTATCTTTTGGATTAGTTGCAGTTCTGAACTGCCTTCAAGAAGAAGGAATGTGGGTTTTTAATTGATTAGGCATATTTTTCTTGTAAAAATGCAACGAAAACTGATATATTTTTGAGATGAGTTCCGTCTAAAACTCTACGGTATAAAAGCTCATATCCTAATTGTGTGAATTATCCCCGCTCTCCACTCTTTCTGCCTCTTTGCTCACCTCGGTGACACGTAAAGTGTTGCAATAAGCCTGAGAGTGAAGCTTTTATTGGCAGATCCTCCTGATTGTATGCTGGACTCGGGCCCTCCTGCTACACACACACTTAAGCTTTGGTATGCAGAGGAATGGCAGAGTTCATCACTCCCCCACATCTGTCTTTTTTAACTTCTCCATCTCGGCGCCCACTAGCAGCCCTGCCAGCGTACTTCTCCTCCTTCTCCACACTCATTGGTCGTCTCTTGTTTTTCTGTTGATTTTTGCTTTTCCTTTCCTTCTATTATGTTTCTGCATAGTGAGGTCATTCTGGCATTTGGTTATCTGCTTACCTTCAGCTCGGGATTATAATGTGAGATCCAGCTTAACAGTGCTCGGTACCTGATGGAAAAACATCTGAAATGCGAACGCTTAATTATATAAAACAGTAAATTGTGTATAAATGAGATTTAAACTGCTCCTTTCCTTTGCTTCTTCTCAATGGTATTGTTATATAAAACTAGTAGCAGTACTTTGAAACAGCTGTGTCCAATTCGAAGAAAGAATCACACAAACTGAGCCGGTCAGGCTAGAACCTGAAAACCAGAAACTTTGTTCTCATTAAAACAACTTTTCTTTTTTTTATCATTTTAAAATGTTTTTTTTTTTTTTTTTTGTCTGGTAACATGGTGGCTGTTTTTGATTAATATTATGACTATATTCTCATAATTGAACAAAACTTTTCCTGGCTTGGCTTCTGCTCTGTCTTACAATTCACAGAAGTTCTGATTAAAATAAAGGGCCACTTTTTTTGAAAATATTTTCTGTCATTTTTTATTTTAGCAAAGAAAGTGAGCAAAAATATATAAACATATATTTTTTAAGACACATCATGATAAACTGTGAGTCCCGTTGATGAATGCAATGGCCTGTATTGACAGTTACCAGACAGGAAACTGACACATCGAGGACTGTTGCCACTTTTTACAGGTCGTCCGCCCCACCGTTACACCGGGAGAGGCCCAATGAATGTGTTGTTCAAAGCAACTTTGTCTTCTCCCGCTCTGCAGATCGAGATCCTGACCTACTGCCAGCTGACGTCCCGTCAGAGGTTGCTCTACCAGGCTCTGAGGAACAAGATCTCCATCGAGGATCTCCTCCAGTCTTCCATGGGCACGGCCCAGCAGGCCAGCAGCACCACTTCCTCGCTCATGAACCTGGTCATGCAGTTTAGGAAGGCATGTGCTGTTGCCTTTGTTTTTCTTTCTGTTCAGTCTCCAAAGTAAACCCAATTAAGTGAAACTACTTGACTTTTTTTCTGCATATTTTCCTAGTTATCCACAAAATTATGTATTCACAAATTGTATTTTCAGATAGAACCACTTTTCATTGCATGGTTTTGTGTGCAGGTTTGCAACCACCCCGACCTGTTTGAGCGTCAGGAAACCCGCTCCCCTTTCCACATGTCCGTCAAGCCATACGTCATCTCCAAGTTTCTCTACCGTCATGGTCTCGTCCACACACACAGCCAGGCCAAGAACAAGTACGCTCTTCTCCACTCAATCTTTCTAAAAAGACAAACAAACCAAAAAACACCAGCTCAATCAAAGCTGCTGCTTAATCTCCAAAGTCGTTAAAAACTAATAATTTCCTCACAGCTACATGTTTTTAGTGTCTCCACCAGTTTTTTTTTTTCAAAACACATATCTCAGGTTCAGTCAGATTGGATGGAAACTGTCTGTTCAAGTCTTGTCACAAAAAACCTCAGATTTAGTTCTGGCCATCTCATGTGCATTATTCTATTTCTTTTATGTTTCTTTTAAATCTTTCAAATAAAATCCAAATCAAATCCACTGAATCCTGGATATCTAAGGGTGTAAATACCTTTCTAATACCTGGCATTCTGATGGTGTTGCTCCTCACACCTAGCATTATAACCCAATCTTGTATCTCTTCTCATCTTTCTCAGATTACTACAAGTGCTGTTATCTCCTTTTTCGCCAAATCACATCCAGCAGTCCCTTTTTCATAGGAAAGGTGAGCACCACGCAGAAAACGTGGCAACAACTCCACTCTGTGTGCGACGTCATTTTCACCGCCTTGTGTTTTGGCTGTTCTTTTCTCAGATGACGAAAAAGGAAGCTGCTTCTCCTTCTTGCGCTTTATTGACGTGTCACCAGCAGAAATGTCCAATATGATGCTGCAAGGCACCTTAGTGAGGTGAGCGTTAAAAGTCATCCGTTTGCTCGCTTGGGATTTAATCTGACGGAAGCGATTATTCTGCATCGCTTACCCTACTTTTGTTTTGGGGTTCAATGTTTGTAATTAGATGTTGTGTTTTTGTGTCCGCCTCCCAGGTGGTTAGGTCTTTTCCTGTCCCTGAAAGCTGCTTACCGGCTCCACTATCAGCGCCTGTTCGACCCCGTCGGGGAGCATCAAGACGAAGGCGACAGAGGGGGGATACAGCACAAGAGTGTGTGTCTTTCTCACAAGGATCTGATCCTGTGGCTCAACAGACCGACCGCCTTCCCCAACACACAAACCAGTCCCGTCCTCCAGGTGAGTTAAAAACAAACAAAAAAAACAGAGACACACACGGGTTGTGAAGAAGAAAATTGTAGGTAGCTATCTTCCATTTTCTTGTGAAATGTTGAAGACATTAAACACTAAAAAAAAAAAACATAATTAAAATTAGATTTTAAGGAGATAAAGAATCCAATATCCAATGGGAAAAATTGAAGCTGCACCAATTTCTGTTTTCGCTGATCCTTAAAACAGCCTGATCTGGTATGTAAAAGTTGCCAAGTTGACAACAGTGAGATGAAAAGTGTTAACTGTGCAACTACAGATGTGATTGTGGGCGAGTCTGTCAGTCAGCCCTCTAACACAGCAGAGCGAAACGTGACGGTGCCAGATTTTCAGACTTATGCAGATGTAGACAAGATCGGCGGGTAAGGTTGGTTCCACATGTAAGTATTGGTTGATTGCTGATCGTTCAAAATTAAGCAATAGTTGTGACTGCATGGCATAGCAACCAGAGCCCCATACACGCAAATGCTGCCCTTAAATATTGGTATTGCACTTCTTTAGGACAAAGAAATGTGATTCGTATCACTAAACGGCACACAGTAACTGTATTTAGCCGTATTTTCAGATTTATTGATTGACTCAATGAAACAGCAGCAGAGAAAACAATAAAACCAGCGATCCCAAAAATCCACAGTTTAGCCTTAAAATGTCCTAAATTAGTTTTTAAACGTAAGTTGGCCTTTAAGATGTTAATCACAGGTCTTAAATTTATCATGAAAGGACTATTTAATCTTGTATATTCAGTTAATGTTTTTTTGTGTGGGACTTTTCTGCCAGGCAAAAGTTTGTGTCGCACTCAGACATCATTACTGCATTCGAAATTGTAAGCTAGCGGTTATTCACTGCTATTATACTCTAACTGGATAGCCAACCTTTTGCTTCTCTCGTGGGTAAGTACAAATTTAAGGTTTGTTGGCTGAATGAAGATTGAACACTTCTGTGAGGATATTGGTCTTAAATTCTAGCCACGATGGTCTTAAAAAGTCTTCAGTTTGAGTTGGTGGAACCTGCAGCATCCCTGAAAACGGTAAATCAAAATTCCTATCATGATAAATAACAAACAATACGATAAATGCCCAGCCTTGTACTCGACAGAAATAAACTTAAAACAAGTGTAATTTTTCCCATACAAAATAACTGAAACTTAGCTCGTCTGCCAAACAACAGGCAAACGAGTCTCATAACAATGATTGGTTGTTTTGGTGGTTTGTGGGAGAGAACAAAACATTCAGTGAGGAAAAAAAAAAGACATTGTATTGTTTTTTTTTGTTGTTTTTTTGTTCCCTTAAAACAGCTTAGTAGTTTGAAATGCTTGCCAACGTTTTACCTCGGGGATAGACGCAGCACAACACAGCTCTTTTCAGGCGCACACAAACCGTTTCATGTGTAGGACTCTGCAGCTGCGAGGTACGTGGCTGGATCGAGACAGTGCATTATTCATAGATTTTTGGGGATTTTTTTTATTTTTTATTATTATTATGGGAATCGCCGCCTCTTGCCAGTTTAAATATACAGACCACCAGGGGACAAAAATGCATCTGATTTGTTTGCTAGGAGCTTCAAGAGAAGTTCAGCAGTTCATGTCCAGTCAACTTTTGCCCAGTAAACAGTTGCTTGTGGCCAGATTTGTGTCATATCACCAACCCTCGTCAGTGATGGAACACACTGCTTGGGTAATTTCATCCTCCTCTTCCTCTGACGGCCTCATCACAGCTGAATTACATCTCGGCTTCCTCTCCCAGAGCGGCCAAAGTAAAACCTGGAAACCTGTGGATACCAGGAGTGTTTAGACTGTGTATGTGCTGTTTGGCCACGCTAACCCCCAGACTCCCACTCCTGTGATTTTGGCCCGCTTCCTACAGCTGCTCCTTTTGCTTGCAAAGCTCTGTGCCGCTGGCACAGAGCGCCACGGCTCTCTCCTTGGCTCATCGTTGTTGAATTGGCTGAATGATTGACATTGTGGTCAGTTTTTATAATCGGTTCTTCTGGCGCTCCTGTGGAGGAGCAGGGTCTGAATATTCCTGCACATATAACCACGGAATGCTACGTTTACAGTGCCTAGCAAAAGTTCATGTCATGCGCACAAACTTCAGGGTTTTAAATGTATTAGACCAACATGGAGTGGTACGTAGTTAGTGAATGTGAATTTCCAAAAAGAGTCGCATGCATTTGTTTTAGAACACCCTAATGGGAGTTCTGTGCAACAAATTAGAGCAGTTTTATAAAATCATTTAAACAGTCGCTTTCATTTTTTAAATTAAAATATTTGAATTAACAGATGTTTTTGTGAGTGTGACTAGCTTTTTAAAATTGCTAATTTTTGTATCATTATAAACAATTTCTTGTAATTTTCTGTACATTATATTTTATAATGTACATTCATGTGTACCAGTTCTTTATTTATTTTACTACAGATGAAAATTAGCCCTTTGTTCCATTCTGGCAGGTTTACATGGTTGTTTTGATGTACTTGTGTTGATTAACATGCACTGTTCCTTATGAAATCATTGACATCTAAAGACTTGCACTAAAACGTGGTTTTAAAAAGTGTTGGTAAATAACAAGTTCAAGCCACATTTTTTAATAAAACATTTATATGACATCATATGACTTTACAATTTGCAGATTTTGCACGATTTCATTTTGATCTAGCGCGTAAAATCCTAATAAACTAATAAACCTGTAGTTTGATTTGCCGAAAGATATATGTAAATAGGTTTTTTTAACACACTGTATTTTATGTAGAGAAACCATGAGCATTGGGTGTCTGCGCCTACATTTGGTTAAATGTTATCTGCGAAGCTGTTTCTCTGTCTGCCACTAGGTGGCACTGTGTAGCCACAGTGAGACGACACACCAATGGTAAACACTCCTACATGCTGCCCTAAACTCAACCTCTCTGCATTATTCTTAGATTACTTGTTTTCACGAAGTACGTTTGTTCCGAAAATGTATTGATGTATAAATTTGTTTCACACCTTCTTGGCCAAATGTTATATTCAGTTGTTATACAGTCAATTCAGCACATTTCAGCTTTGGTAATCTTAGATTTAGCACAGCGATTTAAGACTTTATGGGACTTATTATGTAAAAGTTTTAGTAATTTAGTCAGCTCAGTTTAATTATGCAGACAGAGAAGTTAGAAAACCAGGAGCCCCTCTGCACTCAGTGACCCCTGGATACTCTTACTTAGTTTTACACATCTTTAATATCTTTTTTTATTACTCCATTTTTCCACAGTTCAACTTGAGATTAATTGCTGTTTTAGGAGTTCAGGAATTAACTCACCTCTCACCATTTATACACTTTTTGTGTGTGTGTGTGTGTGTGTGTGTGTGTGTCCTTCAGGATCTGGTGTTTACAGCCTCCAGGCCTGGCATCCTGGGCCACATAGATGTTAGGATCCACGACAGAAACTCGGCTATCTCCACGCTCCGACCCTGTGAAGCCACGCTGCCACCCAAGTTCCTGCTGGCCGCCGCGCCCAAGGTCAGAGCGCAAAGAAAATGCGCCAGCACACCGATTTGTGTGGATGGTTTGACTGCGTTTGGGTGGTCGTGGCAGTAAAAGAGGAAAGCACTGCTTTTTGTTGGTTTTTAAACAATGAGAAGCTCTCATCTATGAAATGTGTGTGTGTGTGTGTGTGTGTGTGTGTGTGTGTGTGTGTGTGTGTGTGTGTGTGTGTGTGGAGTGGGGGTGACCGTCAGGCCCTCCAGCTGCACTTAAAACAAACAGAGCCTCTAAAAAGAGCTCTTCACGCGGGTTGTTCTTCAGTTGTCAGGCTTCCTCCCAATCCCCCCCCCCCCCCACACACACACACAAACACAGGCGGACACACACAATGAGAACCTGCTGATTCATTAAAACCGTAATGACATTATAGTTACATTACAGGAGCATGCATCTAATCTAATTTATTCAGATTCAATGTTATTTTAAAAAGCAAAAAAAAAAAAAAAAAAAAACAACTCTCAATCTTTCCTCTCCATCACTCAATTTATCTCTGGTTGCCTAGGTGACGGCAGTTCCCATGGAGCGGTATTGTGCCGACCGGAGTGCCGAGTACGAGTGGCGGGTAATGCGCGGCGGTGGGGGGACGGTCTACAAGCAGTGCTTTCTGTACGGCTCCCCTGAACTCGCCTCAGATTGGCGCACGAGGGCCAACGCCATCCACCCACAATGCCCCGGGGGGCTGATGGCCCTCCAGCCTCGCCACGGATGGTCCTTCATACGGATACCTGGTAAGCACCGGTCGCTTTGGGATACAGGTCTTTAGTTCTGCGGTTTGAAACAGATTACTTTGTGATTTTGTTGAACAGTGCCAATTAATTCACCACAACCTTTACAAGGTAAAGAGCCATTTTTGCTCTCGGGACAGCCAAATGAAACTCAGTCAGAGCCGCGAATGTCACATGACTTTTGAAAAAAAAAAAAAGTCAACTTATAGATCCATATAATGTGTAAGAAATTCATATAATGTATCATTGTTTTTATGGAACCACCGTTTTATTTCTGGTTTCAGCATTTAAAATGAAGATAAACATAAAAGAGAATAGATATACTTTTTTCTTGTGGGATGGAAAATTATGTAAGCACATAGATGTGAAAAAAACAAACCGATCTAAAAGCATATTACTGGTACTTTTATTGTCAGTCTTTGTGGAAATTCAGTGCAAATGCAGTGGGAAAATTTTCAAAAAAACATTAAAAACCTGCATTTTATATCTACACCAATTGATTATTTTAAATTTCATCATTAAGTTATTAAGAGCCGCGTCACTATGGAAGGTCTTCATTGTGTCGGTTACTACATTCACAAATGACCTGAATATTTACTCCAACGTTTGGAAAATTTCAAACCCACCAAGACGAGCAACCAAGAGGCCCATGGTAACCAACGGTAACTACTATAAACCATCTGTGATATCTCTTCCACTTCTTAGTAGTGTTACTTTATGCATAAAGCATTTGTTGCAAAGAAAAAAAAAAGTGGAAAACATCAATGGATACGAATACATTCTCTGGCACAGCAGCTCTCGACCTAAAATCAAGTTGACCTGCAAAAGTCGTTCGCTGAAATTCACTCGCATCGATCAGAGCAGCTCATTGGCTCAAAGCATTAGTGCCAGTTGTGTCCATGTGCGAGTTTTCCTGCGGGAAAGGTCGGCTGAAGTGGAGAAGTGGAGTGGAAGATGATTTGCTTCCAGGGTTCAGAGGACTGATGGATGTCCGAGGTCACGGAGGGCATTGCCATTTTACAGACAACATGTCCGTTCTCACTGACCCGCTCACCCGCTCTCGCTATGATAAAGTGTCTGTCTCAGATTCTGATGACTGCTCCCGTTTGCGATGAATGTCTGCACACGTCCGACTTGCCAGCTTTTAAAATGGCTGACGGGTCTTCTAAATTATAAAGCTGCAATATCCTAAGGCTTTCTATTCGGTCCTTTTTCCTCCATCTATGCATGCATCTGCTCGTAAAGAGTGCTTATATGTAAATGTGAGAAACAAAACAACTATTTGTGTGTCTGTGTGAGAACAGCCTGAAAGCTCTTGTGAAGTTCTACGGAGGCAGACAAAGTGAGGAAGTTTAGCCACTGCTCATTGTTCAAGTGCGTAGTTAGGTAACACTAATAAATGGTGCGTCCGCGTACGAGTGAGTGTGTGTGTGCGTGCGTTGTTTGTGTATAATCGGGCCCATTCAGGGACTTGTGCAGCGCTCACACGGGGGGGCCCCGAGGTGTCTCTCCCAGCTCGCCGCGCACACTCTCCCACGCTCGTCGGCGTTGGCTGTCCTCGCACACGAAACCGAAGACGGCCTTACCTCTGTTTCTGGATTTAAAAAAAAAAGAAAAAAGGGGCAGACAGCACCGAGCGCTGTTCTGGAATCAGTATCTGGCCCATGGCCTCTCGGCCCGTCTGGTCTCCCACTTCTTTCTCAGCCCCAGTAGGAAGGAAGTGACCCAACGCGCCGGCACCCGTCCTGCGCTGAACACATTGTTGCCACATCAAGGCTCAGATATGTACAGTAGTTCAGCTGAAGTTTCCCACCCTCCCCGCTCCTCCGCGCTCCCAGCCCCACACCTTAGGAACAAATGGCAGAGCTGAATTACTGTTTGTTTGAGCGCCATGGCGTGAGTAGGGCTGCCTACTGATATCGATGGAGGAATCTAATCAGAGGACCTATTAGGAATCAGGACACAGAGGAGGAAAAAACAATTGAAGCCGTAATGATTTGGGCCACAGATTTTGCTTGTTTTTTGATCTTATTGTGCAGGCAGGATTTCCATGACGGAAAGATGTTTCATAAAAAAAAAGAAGCACTTTTTCTAATGACATAAGTATAGATGACCAAGACCTGACAGTTAGCTCTGTGGATGAGGAAGGGTAGAGGACAATGTTTGGTTTAGAGAAACTCACATGGAAGTTCGGTTCATGGGTATTGGATCGTCTTCAGGCCGCAAAGACAAGGTTATTTTCACCAAAGAGTGAAGATTAGAAGTGATCAAATCATCCGTTCAGTTCTTCCAAAGAGAAAAAGGAGACTCTGATGGAACCGCATCATACTAATCTTCACTAATTCAGAGTCGAGTTGCAATTCTGCCTGGGCAGCTCCGCAATTTTACTTCCAGTCAGATGGAACATGTTGGCAAAATTCAAGTTTTACTTTATGCCTAAATATGCCAGCGGTTTGAATAATTGTGGGCTTGGGAGTACAAACTGTTTGTAATGATAAAAACTGACTCACCTCGGCATGCTGGATACTTGAAGCTGAGAATGAAACTGACAGCATGACTAATTTGTATCCTATTCAGGGTAAATTTAATTCGCAGTTTGTCAATTCAAAACAGACAGTGACATCAAGGCAGGATTAATATACGCCGGCCTATTTCAATTCTTAAATGTGAATTTCACAATCCTGATCCTAATAAACGTGCACTATTCAAACAGTCAAGTGGCTGAAGATTTCTTGTCAGGATAATATTTTGACTTTGAGTCAAAAAAAATGCAAAAACCAAACTCATCCTAAAGTTGATATTATGGGTTGAAAAGTCCAAACAAACCATAGTTTAATATCCTAAATGGCTGCCATGAATATAAAACGAAGGGTGCAAGTGTGAACTACTGTATTTATTAGCATCTCTGACCATTTTTACTTTGTACTTTGAACCTTGTGGACATTTATCCTCAATGACTGAGTCCATAAAATTGACACATTTGTATTGTTGTGTTTTAAATACACACAATAAACAAATCCCACTGTGTTTTTGACTTGCAACTAAAAAGCTTTTTAATCAAATGCAGCATGGAAATGAAAAAAAGCCAAACACCTTAAAGTCAGGCCACTTGAATGTCAGTCTACACCATAAGAAAAAAAATATGAGGAACTTTGTGCCAATTATGCATCATAATCACAAATCAAATTTAGAAATTGGTCGATTGCATGGCCATGGGACAGGACAGAAGACAGACACAGCCAGACAAGTTGGAAGGAATGGACTTTCTTCCTGGTTCAGATCAGGCCAAATACAGGAAAAGAAAAAAAAACAAAACATTGTGGTTTCACAGAACTGATGAACAATGAACCAAAACATGCTGTGAAGTCATTACAAAAGCTTTATTTTTCTAATTAAACAAGTTCCTTTCTCATCTCAAACAGGCTGTGCTGCTTTTTGAAGTCTTGATGACACAGCTAAAGGAAGAGAGCCACAAACAACAGACGAACACAGATGCTGTGAAGGCCTTTCGGAAAACAAGAATTATTCTTGGTATTTCTGAAGTTGAGCTGGAAAATGTTGCAAGTGTCGGCTCTTGTTAACCTGCTGTGCAACAGAACGCAGTCACATTTTCATTGTGATTTTATGCTTAGTTATTAATTGAAAGAAAAACATTGATGCATGTTTTTTCACTTTTTAAAAAAAAAAAATAAATAAATCTGAAGAAGAAAAAAAACTAAAAAAAAATCCAGTGCAACCATTTCTCTTCAGAATTTCTGCATTAGTATATGGAGTCCACTTTTGTGTAATTTTAATCACAAAAGTGGACTACATAGCTGTTCTGTGAAGGCCTAAGAGGATTGCCTGAATGTATGCACATTTTTACTTGTTCTTAGTTTTTTTTTTCCCCACACACTTTAAAATTAAGCATTACATTTTTTTTCCAGTTTTTTTCTGAAAGAACAAAAACATTCCAGCTCATTACAGCGACGTAAGGTGATAAAATGCAAAAGGTTAAAGTCGTATAAATACTTCTGCTCGAGACCGCGTTCGGTATCAGTCAAATTAACTCTATTTAAAGTGAAATACTTGTAAACTTGCCTGCAGTGAGAGTACACTGTGGTGCGGCTGGCCTCGCTATCTGTGTGACCTGTGTTTCACATACAGTAATTAGAAGCAACCTCTTAACAAAATAACAGGCTTTCCACTGTAAACCCGACTCCTTGCATGTTTGTTTTTAGCTTTATTGTATGAACTGCAATCTGTCTGCTGTGAAAGTCTGCATGCATGTAGGACACGGCAGACAACTTTTTTTTTTTTTTTTTTGGTGCCTCGGTATCAGCCAGACCTCAAGAAAGAAAGAAAGAGAGAGAGGCTTGTCACTTCTAGGCCATGAAGCTCACATTAGACTGTGGGAAATGCAGTCCTGCCTTCCTGTCCCTTCAAAGAAACCCGGCTCTCCGGCAAAATGGCAGGAAACTTCCCCGGCCCTCTGATAGACGGGCACAAAACAACACAGACGGCCAAGCCTCACCACACCGCCGACTGACTCTGCATTAAACTGGCACCGCCAGCCGTCTGTGGCATTTTTTTTTAACTCTCAGCATAAATAGGGAAACAAATTAGCCAGCTGAGTGTGCGTAAGACAAGGTTTCCTACTTTAATTTATGGGAAATAGTCAGCGACAAAAAAAAAAAAAGTCGGCTCTAAAACTTGAAACTTTTGAAGTCCAAAGCAGCCTGAAGGGGGAGACATTAGCCACACGATTCAGCTGTGACTCTGCTGTGGAGGCTCTGATCTGCGCTCCTGAGGCGTTTCAGTGTCAGCTTGGGCCAGCGGCGATAATATACCTCTAATGACATAGGCGCTGCGGTGTGGCGTGACTGTCTGTCTCTTCCTTTGCTCCCAGAAAACCCAAAAAGAAGAGCTCCGTCTTCCTCTTTTGCGGAGAGACAGCGGCTCGTATGCTTGTGTTTGTTCACATCATTGCAGCTCATCGCTCAATCTCTACCCTACTCTGTCAC